GCCTTCATCATGAAATCTGCTATGTTGTCTTTGGTATGGATCTTCTGCATATCTATCGTCCCTTCTTCCACCTTTTCACGAATGAAATGGTACTGAACTCGTATGTGCTTTGTCCTTGAATGAAATGTTGGATTCCTTGCTAAATGCAAGGCGCTTTGACTGTCACAAAACAGATAGACATACTTTTGATTGTGCTCAAGCTCTTCCAATAGCATCTTCAACCAAATTGCTTCTTTACTGGCTTGTGTAGCTGCTACATATTCTGCCTCTTTTGTGGACGTAGCCACAACTGACTGTAATTTTGAAACCCAGCTTACAGCTCCACCAGCAACTTTGAACACATATCCTCTAGTTGATTTGCTTTTATCCAAATCCCCTGCATAGTCGGATTCTACATACTCATTGATTAGTAAATTTGATCCTCCATAACATAATACAACATTTGAGGTCCCTTTGATGTATCTCAGGATCCTCTTTACTGTATTCCAATGCTCTTTGCCTGGATTCGCCATGTACCGACTAACCACTCCCACTGCTTGTGTAATGTTTGGTCTTGTGCATATCATAGCGAACATTAAACTTCTCACTGTCGATTCATAAGGCACTCGAGACATCTTCATCCTCTCTTCTTCACTGTTAGGACTCATATTGGAGGATAATTTGAAGTTAATAGGAAGAGGGGTAGAAATTGGCTTACAATCTTGTATATTGAATCGTGACAAGATCTTCTTCAAGTAATTCTTTTGTGAAAGCCAAATCTTCCTATTACTTCTGTCTCGGTGAATTTGCATCCCTAGAATCTTGTTTGCTGATCCCGAGTCCTTCATTTCAAATTCCCTAGCTAGTTTTGCCTTCAATTCTTCAATATGATCTTTGTTGGGTCCTGTAACCAACATGTCATCCACATACAACAACAATATAACAAAATTATTATCACCAGACCTCTTGAAATAATTACAAGGGTCTGCATTAAGTCTGTTGTATCCAAGGCACATAATGAAGAAATCAAATCTCTTATATCAACACCTCGGCGCCTGCTTTAGATCGTACAAAAATTTGTTCAACCTGAAAACCAAGTTCTTATTTTCTTTTTCTTCAAAACCTTCAGGCTGGAGCATGTAAATCTCTTCTTCAAGATTTCCATGAATAAAAGTTGTTTTAAAATCTAGCTGCTCTAGATATAAGTTCAATGTAGCACACATTGCCAAGACTACTCGAACTGTTGTTAGTCGAACCACAGGAGAAAAGATTTCATTGAAATTAATACCATTTTTTTAGCATATCCTTTTACTACCAGTCTTGTGCGATACCTCTCCACTTGATCATCACCATTTCGCTTGATTTTGAAGACCCATTTGTTACCAATTGGCTTCATTCCTTGTGGTAGTGGCACAAGGTCCCATGTGTTAATTTTATGAAGGGATTCAATTTCTTCTTGCATCTCCATCATCCACATTGAAGCATCTGAGCTGTTTATTGCCTCCTGGTATGTTGATGGCTCACCGTCCTCTGTTAAAAAGCAGTACGCAACATTTCCTTCTAAAACATAATCTGAGTGCCAATTGGGACGCCTTCTCACACGATCTGATTGACGAGTTGTTGGAGCTTCAGAACTCTCTGGTTCTATTTCATCATGTGCTGGTTCTGCTTCAGAAAAATCTCCTTGTTCAACCTCCTTTTTCATATGTATCTGTGTAGTCTCTAACTTTTCAGCACTATCATCGTCTTCTTTTCTTTGTAGTTTATCTTCTACAAAGATAACATCCTTGCTGATGATCACTTTGCGGGCAGTGGGATCCCACAAGAGATACCTCTTGACTCCATCAGCATACCCCAAGAATTTACATTTCCTGGATTTTGGATCCATCTTTGAGATTTCTTAGGAGTTGTACATCACATACACAATACTTCCAAATACATGGAGGTTTGAATAATCAACTGGTTTACCAGTCCACATTTCCATTGGTGTTTTTAGCTCTATTACAGTTGATGGAGCTCGATTTACCAAATAACAGGCGGTATTGACTGCTTCTGCCCAGAATGATTTTTCTAGGCCAGCATCTCTCAACATTGCTCTTGTTCTTTCTAACAAGGTTCTGTTCATCCTCTCTGCCACTCCATTTTGTTGAGGAGTGTTCGCCACTGTGAACTGTCTTTTGATGCCTTCTTTCTTGCAAAAGTCATTAAATTCTTCACTTGTGTATTCTCCTCCATTATATGTTCTAAAACACTTGATCTTATTTCCAAAATCAAGTTTCACCCGCACTTTGAAGTTTTTGAAAGTTGAAAACATATTTGATTTCTTTTTAATAGGGTATATCCAACATCTCCTGGAGTAGTCATCAATAAATGAGACAAAATATTTTGCTTCGCCTAGGGATGTAAATGGTACTTGCCATACGTCAGAGTGAACCAATTCTAGAACACTTTTTCCTCTAGAATTTTATGAATTGAATTTCAACCGATACTACTTACTTGTTATGCAATGCTCACATAAAGAAAATGATACATTTGTTAAGCCTGGTAGTAGCTTTTTCTCTACAAGGACTTTCACTCCTTGTTATGACATGTGTTCAAGTTTCTGATGCCATAGCATTGTAGAATCTGAACTACATAAGGCAACAGAGGCTTCTGCTTCTAGCAAAGTCTCTCCCTTCAGCATGTACAAGTTTGCAGCTATCTTTTCGCCTTTCAGCACTACAAGCGCTCCACGGAACACCTTCATGATTCCTTTCTGTGTTTCAATCTTGCTTGCATTATTATCCAACAATCCATAGGATAATAAATTTTTCTTCAGGCCTTTCACGTGCCGCACATCTCGAATAACTTTAATTGTTCCATCATACATCTTCAATTTGATGGTTCTCACGCCAATGATCTCTAAGGCATGATCATTGCAACTATACACAGATCCTCCTGAGACAGGTTCATAATGATGGAACTATTATCTTCTCGAGGTCATGTGATATGTTGCTCCCGAATCAATGAGTCATATATTTGCAAATCTTTTTCTGCATTCCACAGTGGTCGACGCTTCACAGCATAGAGCATTTCCATCATCTGAAGTGTTTGCAGTTTTGCCTTGTGAATTGGAGTTTTTATTTAGACTCCAACAATCCTTCTTCAAATGACCCTTCTTTCCACAGTTGTAACACTTTAAATTCTTCTTTCTCCTCGACTTCGATCTACCATGTTTGTGACTGCTGCTTTGTCCATGTTCTGTTGATCTCCCTCTCATCGTTGTCAACGCTTCTGCTTGTTGCAGATTTACTTGTCTGTCTTCCTTGTTATTGCGCTAATTTTCTTCTTGTAGAACAGCAGCTGCAACGTTATCGAAGACTAGACTGGTGACATTACTATTTTTCAAGTTGATGATGAGTTGATCATACGAATCATGTAGACTTTGAAGTAGAAGTTCAGCACGTTCTTGTTCTCCTATTGTACATTGTAATGATGTAAGCTGAGAAAATAAGGTGTTCAGCGTGTTTAAGTGCTCCGTCACTGAAGTAGATTCTGGCATACGGAGAGTGTACAATTTCCTCTTAAGAAAAATTTTATTGTGCAACGATGTGGCATCGTACAATTTGGTGAGATGATCCCATATCTCTTTTGATGTTTTCTTCTCCTCGATGCTTGACAATACTTCATCTGCTAATGCTATATGAAAATTTTCCATAACATTCCCGTCCATTTCGATCCATTTGTTGTCATCTGTGAAATCTACCGGCCTTTCACTGATAGCTGCTAGACAAACCGTCTTTCCTCAGGATGGCATTCATCTTCAATTTCCACAATGAGAAATTTCTCCCATTGAATTTTTCAATATCAAATTTCATTGACATAGCTTCTATTACGGATAGCTCCCACTATTTAACTATCGTGAATAGTTCTTTAGAACCTTCAAAGAATGGGTAATACCTTCCTACTTTCTTATGATGGAGAATCCACCTTTTGGTGGCAACCACAAAGACAATAAGCAGATATTACACACTCAAATCTGGCTCGGATACCAATTGTTGTGGAAGACGGCTATCGAATAGAGCAAAATCGCAACTGATAATTTGAGAAAATAAAAATGAAGATAAAAGAGACACAAAATTTACGTGGAAAACCCCAAAATAATATAGGGTAAAAATCACGGGCAACGGTAGAAGAATTTCACTATGAGAAAATAAGAATTACAACCTCTCTCAATCTACCAAGGAGAAAACAATGATAATTCTCTCCTGATAAAAAGAAGAAAACAACTCTCAAGAAACTCTCTAAATTCTCTAGTATTGGGAGAAAGCTAGAATGATTTGGGATGGTTTTGAAGCTAAATGTGATAAAGTATTTATAGTTGAAGCTTAAAAATTAATCTTGTAAATACCCTAAAATGCAAGATTAAATTGTAATTATCTCTTTTAATTTTTTCCACAAAAGTTGGCTGCCTAAATTTTTAATTTAGCAGCTATCTGCCAAATTTTCCAACCGTCCATGTGCTTTTGTTTACTTTCAACATATAATCGCAAGAAAGGAATTTTCACTTTTTTTTACAAAGGAATTTTTATATTAAACACGAAAAGTTCTTTAAACACCTGAAGTTAATTTATAGTTTAATTTAGACACTTATAAGTCTTCCTTTTATAAATTTATTTAAATGATTCAAGCACTTATTTTCAATGGTTCCGGAGCTTGATACACTGGTTTTGAAGATTTGTAGCTTGTTTTCAAATAAATTCCATTGTCTTTTTCTAATAATAATGCAAGGCATCTAAGGTTTTGAAGATTTGTAGCTTGTTTTCAAATACTATGGACTTGGGCGACAGGTAGAAGCAAATGGTATTGTGTCCATTTCAAATACAATTGCTGAGATCGTGTACGCGAACACACGAAAAGGTAATCTTTGACAAGCCATGGAAATAGAACGCCGGTCAGTTTTGGGCTCATAGAATTGAATGAAAAACTACACTATAAATTCAGAATCCCCCCCCCCCCCAACACACAAACGTCATCCGCTAAGCATCAAACACCACAAAATGAGTAGCTCTTTACTTTCTTCAGCCACCTTTTTATTTTTAATCTTTTGGTCTTCGAATGTGGCCAATGCCATTGTTCCACCCTCAAGGACCTTCAAGTACGTAAACGAAGGTGATTTAGGAGAATTAAGCGTCGAGTATTTCGCAGACTATCGTGCACTACCCATTGCCTTGTTACCATTCCAATTATGCTTCTACAACACCACTCCTAATGCTTTCACCTTAGCACTAAGAATGGGCAGTCGCCGGTCCGAGTCCATAATGAGGTGGGTCTGGGAAGCCAATCGAGCAAGGCCTGTCGGCGAAAATGCCACATTGATTTTTGGGTCTAACGGAAATCTAGTGCTGGCCGATGCCGATGGAACCGTGGCATGGCAAACGCGCACGGCCAACAAGGGTGTGGTAGGATTGAAACTACTACAAAACGGTAACTTGGTTTTGTATGATAAGAAAGCCAGATTCATTTGGCAGAGTTTTGACCACCCGACAGACACACTTTTGGTGGGACAAGCCCTGCGAGCCAATGGTCCGAACAAGCTGGTTAGTCGCACGTCTATTGCCGATGGATCCGAAGGACCTTACAGCTTCGTTATGGAGGAAAGGTACCTAAAGATGTACTATAAAAGCATGAATTCAGCTTTGCCTTTGCTATATTACAGGTCGTATGAGTTCGGAAACGGGCAAGGTTCGTTAGCAAATATGAAGTTTTATTGCTCGCCGGAGACCGAACAAGCGTATGCTTTCGAGTTAGGGCTCACATATGATATGAAAGGCTCTTCTAGCTCAGGGACCCACATTTTGACAAGGCCTAAATACAATGGCACATATTCCATGCTCCGAGTGGAATCAGATGGTAACCTTAAGATCTACACATACAATGAAAATGTCAATTGGGGATACTGGGACAACACCTTTAAACTCTTTGACGGTGAAGACCATGAAAGCCTTTGCAATCTACCAAAAAGGTGCGGTTCACTGGGACTTTGCGATGACAACCAATGCGTGGCGTGTCCTACGCCAAAGGGCTTGCTAGGGTGGAGCAAAAGCTGTGTGCCGCCGGCACTGCCGCCGTGTAAAGGTGGTGCAAACGTGGGTTACTACAAAGTCGTGGGCGTTGAGCATTTTACTAACGGATATACAGAAGGGGATGGTCCCATGAAGTTGAATGATTGTAGACTGAAATGCAGCAATGATTGTGGGTGCTCAGGGTTCTTCTATAGGGAGGAATCATCCAAATGTCTGGTGGTTCCTGAGCTTGGTACTCTGGTCAAGGTCACCGATCTTGCTCATGTTGCCTACATCAAGATGCCCAAGTAGATTCCTCTGTTTTGGAAAAATGGAGCTCCAATATTTTATACATGGTTTAATATTTTGTTATAATATCGATATCATATTATGGGTTTCGATACCATTATACTTATATCAATACTTAATCCTTTCATAAATTACATTTTCTTCTAATGTATTAAGATTTAGTAATTTGTCTATAAATTTTTAAGATGCCTTCAATATTTTAATTCACTAGGAATAAGATCTTTCATGGTATAAAATATTTAATTTTAATGACTAGGTTTAGATGCGATATTATTATATTATTAGAATGCAATATCTGTTATTCGATTAAAAATTCAGATCAAATAGAGAGTGTTACAGATTTACACTCCTAGAACCGGATCATAGTGCGGGGTATTGTCCTGGACGGGATTTTATCACCATCACAATGATTGTTCATCTATGCTCTCGAGTCTTGTACAAAGCAGCCTCATGCCCTGCTTCCTACAAATTCAACCACACAACAAAATTTGTTTTAATTTTTGTTGAAAGATTATGAATACAAGAAAATGAAATAGAAGAGTAAGTTCCTCGCTTTGACATTAGCAAATGTCATTTTGTTGGAATAAGTTCTTGTATATCTGCAAACTTTTACCACCCAAGTTAGCTTCTCTCGAGCATCTCAAAAGAAAGGGGAAAATCCAAATAATAACCAGACTCACCTGTAACTTTGACTTTGCACCACCCATGCTCTCCAATCATCAATAATTGAATAGTTGAGAAATCTTATCCATTATTGAGTTGCCAAATATGGAATCATCATGTAATGATTACCACTACATGGAGATCGAGGAGAGAGTATGCTTCAATCGAATCTTATAAAATAAAATAGGCTTTATAGTTGTTTTGTTCTTGTAATATACTACAAACAATTAGATTTTACATACATCTATGTAATATACTACAAACAAATAGATATTAAATACATCGAGTCCCTCGAACCCAGGAAGAAACTTGACAGCAGAATGAGCGAAAGCAAGCTGTGAGCAAACCTGTAAGAGAAAGAAGAAAAAGAAAAGCAAGGCCATCTTATGATTTGCTGCTGCCATTGATTTAGCACTTCAATGTATCGTGTTCCTATATGCTAATCATGCATGGTTGGAAGGGGTAAGCCCATTTGGACTTGTCAAAAAAACGTATGGCTCGCCAAGCGGTTCTGCTTGTATTGCATTTATGAGAATAACGTGGATGCAGATTTTGAAGAGGAAAAAAGGAAAAAAAAACTTGAAGTAGAACACTCCCACAAAACTCTTCTTCTCCGTCGTAGTAAGGTCATTTTCATTTCTTCTCTGTCATAATAATGATCTCGGGTGAGGTATACCTATAAATGTGTGCAACAATGGAAATTGGGCATTGTGTAGACATGAACTCCACAAGGAAAGTAAACAGTGAGGGTGATGATGCATGGAATACAACATATAACAATCGCAGGTTTGCAACTCATATGTATATAATATATACATGAAGGGAGGCATGTATTCATGCGATCAAGCACACAAATGACAGCTGAATAACTATCCACGTTTTTCTTGAAGGGTCATTTTTTTTTGGATAATCAAGATTTTATTACCCAAAAATATCAGCAAGCTACTAACAATACAGTCCAATCAATATAACAAGAACTGAGATCAATTTACAGCAAAATTATATTATACCCCAGTGGTTACAAAGAGCTGAATTTATACTATAAAAATGGATGTCCCTTGTTCTCATATGTAATGGGGTAAAGGGAGGTAAGATAGTAGGTTGCCCCCAACACTAGGTTGAGAGCAGCTTCCGTAGGAGACCTCCAAATTATGAAATGCCCTCCATGGGACTCGATCCCACGACCTCAAGGTTAAGAACCTTGTATCTCCTTAATAGTATTAATAATTCTCTCTTCGGTTCTGCAAGTTCCTTTGAATATTCTGCGATCACTTTCCTCCCAAATGGTGTAATTAAAGGCGCAACATGATAGCTTCAGAATGCAAGTGATCAATGAATTACCTTTCCATGTAGATGTCGCCCAATCCAGCAGGTTTGGCCAAGTCGATAATTGCCTGCTCAAACCAGAAAGTTGAATTATTGATCTCCAAATGGAAGTTGTCTTCGAGCACTCGGCGAAGAGATGGTTTCTAGTTTCTTTTGCTTTCGAACAGAAGATGCAGAGATCGTTGGTAATAAGGCCAAAGCGTTGCATTCAACACCCATGACGTTTTTCTTGATTTATAAAGAGCCATTTGCAACCTACTGGACACCGACCTTCATACATAGGTTCATTGTAAACTTGACGAACCACTTCATTTGAATACTTTTCGGGACATATATAGGCTCATTGTGGCATAGTCTACAGGCACGAGATTAGTCTTCTATGAAATTTGTGAAGATTTTAGCCCAGATTCAATAGAAATAGAAGAACAAAGATTCTAGAGAAAGCAAGGCTTTTGGTAGGGGATAGTTACCACAAGTGTTTCTGAATACAACCTAATCTTGTCCATTGCAGCAAACACATAGACTTGCAAAAAAAAAAAAAAAAACAAGACATTGGAGCAAATGTGTAGGTCCAAACTAGATTACAACTTCAGTTTTAGTGACCCCCAAATGAAGAACAAAAGAAAGGAACTTTGAAGCTTCAGGGCAACGTTTATAGTTCTGAGTCCAGAATAACTATATACTTTGAAGGGAATGAGTATAAAAGTCAAATATCATATTCTTCCCGTGGAAATAACTGTCAAAACTCTCCCCCAGACTGGCTAGCTATATATATCTGCAATAAAGAAAAATGTACCTTTTTTCAGAGATCACTTCTACATCAAATCTTACGATCAATAACGATACAAAACAGCCGGGATCATGATGCATAAATTGCCCCTCATGTCCTTGACCATAAAATCTAAGAATGAATACATCAAATCAAAACTCACCCTTTTGGTTCAGTGGAACAAACTTCTGCGTATTTTACCAGACATATCACACAACAAAAACCGGGGACAAATATAGCACAAGCTTAACAGGATCCTAAAAATTTCAGCCTCATAACCACTCATCATGAATCGCATTCAAAAGGCAACTTATATTGCAAAGGCAAACATCAAAATTGGTAGTTGCTTTTTTTCTAAACCAGAAAAATGCCAACATTTTCAAACATACAGAGAAGTTACAGACAAATCATCTATGTTGTGCTATGTATACCCCAGATTAGGGAGCGATTTAAATGCTGAAGCATATTTAGCTATTGAGTATTTGATGGGTATCAATACAATTCTAGGCAAATTGGTACTGTCGGTAAAGCTGCCAACCTCTGTTAGCTGACCAGCATTGGAGAAACATCCATTTTATGCCGACATGCCAAGAAAATAATTTAGACAGGCAGATAATGTTTATCTCAACACAAGCCTAAATCTGACCAGTCTGCAAGCAAAAGCTACCTAGCCACACCCCATCCTTACCTAACACACACACACTTTCTGCGACTATGGCCACCATAAACATGCATTTAACAAAATGGAATACCCAATAAGCCAAGAAAATAAGCAACATTCTGCAACGAGCCAATGACTAAAGGTTTAGAGGGCTCGGGGAGGCAATTGATCAAACAGGATAACAAGACAGGCAAATTGTGTCACTTCTGTTAAGTCGGTCATTTCCAACATCAAAAGAAACATAAACTAAAAACTTTTAATACTCTGGCATATTATCTTCAAACTGAAATCAAATATTAACCATCACGGGCATGCAACTTTCATATGCATCTTCCATAGCATACATGAAGGAAGACCAGGTAATCATGCAAGATTATACGCCAAACACGCAAAAGCCAGTAGTATAACTATGAATCAACCGAAATCTACAGTCATTTATACTTTGAAGAAAGCTTTCAAAAGAAAATATTGAACAGATTCAAGACAGCACTCCACAAGAAGCATCAAAAAGGACAGCAAGGTCACGACCTTTGGGGAAGAAGACAACATCATTGAGGAATTAACTGCCCCTGTTTATTCCAAAAACATACCACAAGATGATGCATATCACTCCATGAATGAACATTACCCCTACGTATTATCAATACTGATTTCGACACCCACTGACTAGTTCCCTTAAGGGCCATCCATCAAATAAAGAAAACATAACACACAACAGAGGAAAATGGTTCATTACCAGTATTAACAATTACATCTTTGAACATCTTTAAGTTTTCATGCTAGAATCTTAACAATAAGACAAGACTTTCCAAACAATGTGGGCACTCCCCCTCACTTCCTCAATCACTCAACAGAACACATAAGAATCCATATAATTAAAACCCTTATCATTTCATTCCATCTAGTGGTCAAAAACACACTTTAAAACCCGAGCAAGAAAAAAAAAATTAAATCCATGAACGCTAGAAAGTGTAACATAAATGAACTCATTACATGAAAGTATAAATTTTAATCAACCAAATAACAAATACAACAATATAAGAAAATGCAAACATAGTTTCTTTTATGAGGAATAATAGGCCTCACCACTGGAACCCAAGGACCGTTTGCCTCGCTTGATCTTCTCGAACTGCACCTGCGTCTCCATAAACATTTTCATCCTCTGCACTTCCAAGTCTTTAGCAAATTGCATTCTTTGCTTCTCCAATTCCACCATCTGCCTCAGCTTCTCCCCTTCAACTCTTTCATACACTTGACCCAACCTTTCAATCGCTCTTGCCAAACTCTTCATCCCTTTCTTCTCCTCTCTTTCACCTTCACTTTCCTCTCCCTGACTTTCCTCACCCTCTTCCTCGTCACTCTCTACAGCAGCAGCCGCGGCAGCAACAGCGGAATAATTTCTATTGAAACACCCATCGTCGACAGCCGGCCTCTTCTGTGGAAGCGAGACAACCGTAGCCGGCGCCAGAGTAGTCCTGTAGGGCAACGGAAGCGGAAGAGCCACGGGAGGAGACCGGGGATCTCGGGTGAAAAACTCGGCGAGGGCTTCGGTGATATCTTAGGCGAAGGCGAAACCTTTTTAGCTGAAAAATTATATCCGATAAGAGCATCCAACCGTTCAAAGAAGG